AGAATAGGTATCAGAAGGCAGTTCAGCTTCTGAGTGTTTGGTAAGGAATGACCTTATATTCTGTGCAAATACTGTTGCTGTAAGACAAACAAGCGTTATTTCTTCGGACATAAATACAGCAGTCCCTTTGCTGGGCGTGTAGGTCAGAAAGGAGTCTATTTATAGTGTAAAGGAAGAGCAGGCCTCTTTGGCTTGAGGGGGAAAAAGCCCTTATACTTCCAGGTATATTAGTGCATACTGGTAGCTAAAGCCCCTCACAAAGGAAATGTCGTTTGGAAGGAAGGGAGCTTTTGAGGACCTTGAAATAACAACAGATAAAAGCAAGGAGTGGTATCTGGAGAGTGAAGGAGAGTGAAACAAGGCATGGGGATCAAAATGAAATGAAACATATTTTGTCTGCTGAATATATTCATAAAAGTGGCTTAGATATCTGAATGAATAACCTAACATAACCTAAGCAGCGCTGAAAGGGAAAAATGATAGTAGTAGTCATGCTAGACCCTGAGGGACTGAAAAAGGCCATCGAAATTTGGGATTAATATGAGTAAAATGACTAGCCTGGGGTTGGAATCATAGTTAGACAATATGAAGTCCTCAGTGCTTTCAGACAAAGGGTCTTAATTACTGCTAATCAAAATATATTCTGCAGCAATTCTACCTTTCCTTTCTGGAAAGAAAAAAGATGGAAAAAAAGTGGTGGGAAAACAAGGTTTACGCATGGAGTAGGATAACGTGCACCCCCCATTTTCCCCCCAAATAAAATGTCATGAATGAGTTAGGAGAATAGCATAATAAAGGTTTATCTGAAGTACATCTGGAAGAAATTGATAATATGGAATAAGTATCTAAGCAGAAGATGATTAATTTTAATGTTAATTTTTATTATTAAATACACATTGAGGTTAACATTGGTAAATGCATCTTTATTTCACTGTTAATTAAATCTAATGTAAGAAATATATATAAATATCAATATTAGTCTTATCATTTTAATATAATTTCTTGTATTCAGTGAGTGTAGAAATAACTCCAAGACCAGTGCTGAATTTTTAGGTGCAACATTTTATTTCCAAAGTCCAGCCTAATCTGAAATTGTCACTTTACAGGCAGGTGCTGGCATTTCTACACAACAGCCTCTCATTCTGAATATCACTATAGTCTCAGCGGCTCTGAACCTCATTCCAGCATTCTGTTTTCATTAGGCCATTATCTGACTACTACTTCTGTCATTTCACTTCTGGGGTTGTCATTCTATTCTGACATCTGTTATTCTGCCTTCATATTCATCATTACAGTCCATACTACTGTTTCTGTTTCTCAGTTCTTCATAAAGCAGTACTATATGAAGCTTACCTGTATTCATCTTCATTTTGGCTCACCTCAAAACACTGAAAAGCAGCAGGGAACTTCATGAGCAATGCTCACTTCCAGCTGACCAAGAGGAGAGTAAAAAATCCCTCACTCTCCATGTACGTAAAAGGGAAAGAAAATACCTTGCACCCTGCCACATTTTAGTTCACGCTGTATATTTGTCTGGTCTTTTGTAAACGAAATCTGAGCAGTTGGTATGAGGAAGGTTTCTAATTGCAAAGTAGCCTTTCCTCATGCATTTAACATTCTCTTCAAAATGGTAAAGATGAAAGGAAAACATATCAGCATTTTCCCAACTAGGCATTTTCCCAATACCTCAAACCATGGTTGCAAGTTGTTTTGGTTGAGACAAAGGGAGAAATATCTTCCTATTATCTGGAGAACTTGGAACCAGCTAATGAAGTACAGAGCCCAGAAGGTGGGGTAAACAAGAGTTTCCATCAATGGAAAAACAAATTGCCCAGAAGCTTTGCAGATTTGCTATGGTAGAAGAAAAGACCAGGTTTGCTTTGATTTCAGGTAACCTTGCATAGAATGAGAAAAATATGAAACCTCAGCTTTTATTATAATGATTTTTATTAAACATTTTTTCAGATATAAAAGATAAATGTAATATAAAGTGCAATTAAAGAAAAAAAAGTGAAGTGAGAAAGTGAGACAAGTATGAGAGAAAATGCAAATAGAAACAAGAAAAGAAAAATACATAAAGAAGCGACTCTCAATCTTTACAGCAGTTACAAGCCAACAAATCTTCACATTTCCCTCCTTGAAATGATATATTTCCCATTTTCCCATAAAACTTCAGCTTTTGAACACAGCTTTTGAGGAGGATATGGGAAAACTAGGGTTTAATGCTGATTTTGGGTCAATTGGTATGAAAGTGCCCCTAATCATATCTGTACTAACATTGATCAAGTGGAGTTGATTTCTCAGTATTTCCTGAAGGTCCTGTGTATAATTATTAATTAACCATAGTTCAGCCAAACTCATGCACTGCACAAATGTGGTTTGCTTGGTTTTGTACTTGTGTGTGGTGTGGTTTATAAAATATAGCTTATGGCAAGCCATGGCTTAGTACAATATGTGAGCCACATCTATAGATTTCTAGAGCTCTAACTGGGAACCCTACAGTCCCTTCTGTGTCTGTAGCAGTAAGCCCCACTGCATTCAAAAGAAATTATTGCCAGCATGTACTCTTAAAAATGTTTTCTCTAATCTTGTATTCAATGTACATAAGATTTGCACCTTTAACTTTTAACAGAGGCAGGTGTCTCTGTAAAAAATTAGTGCCTTTTTACAAATATATTTTTGGGATGTATGTAATATGTGTTGCTATTTCTTTGTTTGTTCAATTGCTCTGGAGTGTCCACTACTTTCTCATAGAGCCAACTGGGCAATAAATCAGCAAAGCTGATAGAGTAATTGTGGAAGAAGACTTAGAATGAATTTGATCAAACATGAGATACAGCCTATATTTTCATATACCAGAAAATATGAGAAAAGCAGATAAATTGTACTTTGCTGTTATTATTGCAACTGAGTAGAAACATCCAGTAGTACTATTATGAGTCACAAAAAATATTTTTTATTTCAAGGACCAAGAAAAGCTGAAGAAGCCAGTTTGGATGCCCATTCTGAAAAGCTTTTAATCATTTTCATATTCCTGAAGGTAGATTATTAATAAAAACTACTGGAAATGTGAGGAGACGCTCCTTTAACATTACAGAAGATAATTTACACTGAGAGCTAGCAAAGAGGATATGTTTGTACCATTTGCTTCTGATAGACTACTCAATGGAACACCATTGAATAAGATATTCCTGTGGATTATCTGGCAGAAATAGGCCTGAGAGATAATGTTTTACAATGATTCCAATTCTATCACCAATTTCAGAAGTGATGGTGTAGTACATCTCTATAGCCCATATCTAAGATTACCCAGCCATTCTTTTTCTTTTTTTCTTTTTAGAGTGTTTGGTGAGTGGCTGCAGGCTGAACCTTGACCTTCTGGTCTCTGTTCTCTTGCTTTTCTTTCCTTTCTGGAGTATGTTCTTAAGCCATATGCGCTCTGGAGATACACTGGGGAGATGTAGAGAAGAGTTGCTGGAGATGGAGATTTACTGCTTGCAAAGTATCCAAAATAATTTTTAAATTAAAAAAAAGTAAAATCAGGAGGACAGAGAATCTAACTGAGCTTTAGGCAGGTGAGATTCTAGGAGCATTCAATGCCCATTGGCTCTGTATTGCCAACTAAGAATTAGACTGTAGTTATTAAATGTTCTGTAAAATGGCCCTTACAAGACAACTTCATAAGTTCATGTAATTGTTAGGTTTTTTATTTTGCCTAAATCCAGACAAATATCACATTGTAATATCCTAATCCAAGTGTTAATATAATAATTATAGGATTTACTAGGTTGTGTAGAATCTGGATTTCTAATGAAAATCATCATGACAGTATTTATTTGTTTTCAGTGTATTTAGCTCACTCTTTAACAAAAATGGCCTGGAGAGGAACTTATATAAATCAGTAAAGTGATAGTCTCTGTCTTCTGAAAAATATAACTCACAGGGACAAGGGAATGGGAGTATGAAAAAAGAACAAACCCAGTTGCCTGTTCTGTAAATTACAGTTTACATAATAACCAGCTGGGAGAAACAGTTCAGATTGAGAGAGGGCCAAAGGCAGCTGGTCTCTTAGCAGAAGCAGTGAGATAGCCCTGCTTTTATTCCTCTCCATTTGCTCTGCATCACTAGTAAATTATTATAATTTACGTTTACTAAGATCATTTGCTTCAAGATATGTATACTTTTTATTATACAGAGGTCAGTTTTAACTAATAAGGTATTTTTATCATTTATGAGCAATATTAATCTTAATACATTTGTGTGAAAAAGTTTTCAATATAAAAATATACATTAAGTGTTTTCTTATGCTAATCATCCTTGTTATATATTTGTTAAATGTTGAAAGTTATAGAGAGCTAAATTTATTTCTAAAAAGCTAAATATTATCGATTTAATTTTAAACACTAATTCATCAACTGTCCTTTAATAAGCATACATTTTTAAAAGATCCTTTTTGAAAGAACTGTACAGGTAATCCTTGAATTATAATGGTAATCAGGACTGGAATTTCCATTGCTAAGTGATATGGTTGTAAAGCATGATATTATATGACTGGATCGCTTAGCAATAACAATCCCGGCACTCCCTGTTGCCATCATTAACCAAATGCCACTGGTCGTTAGGCAAGGACCAACTCTGATCCAAGCTATTCCCAGCTTGGCCTCTCCCAGCCCCGAGCCTTGGTAAGGTAAGGGGCTGCTTCCTCTTCAACTCCCTCCACCTGCCTATCTCCTCCCCCCCCCTCCTTTTGGCTGTCTTGTACTCTGCTGCCTCTGCCGGCCTTGCTGGCTTAAGCTCTGCTCATCCTGCTGGCCCTCTTGGTCTGCCAGCCTTGCCACCCTGCGTTCTGCTTGCCCTGCCAGCCTGCTGGCCTTGCTGCCCTGGGCTCGCTGGACCTGCCGCCACCAGCTGACCTTCACTGTCTTCCTCCAGCTGCTGATAGGGCATGCCTGGCCTGGCCTTATGTGAGGCAGCTGCTGGCTGTGCCAGGCCTTCTTCCCAAGGCCACTTGTGCTGTTCTCCAGGTAGCACAGGCTGTTCTCCAAATAGTGTGTGCTGTTCTTGCAATGCTTCAGAAAGCCTTTGGAAAGTTTCTGAGGCCTTCTGAAGCATTGTAGGAATGGCATGTGTGATTTGGAGAGTGGCAGTGGCAGTGGCGGGTGGCTGAGACTACTGAAGGCCCTGGGTCTCTACTTCAGCCCCAGTGCCACTGCTGCCACCGAGGAGTGTCACTGGGCAGGGCAGCCGAAAGGGCAGAGGTGGGGGAGAGATAGGCGGGTGGGGAGAGTTGAAGCGCCCCTGTGGTCGTAGGTGCAGGCGGGCTGCCAAGTACCCAAATTTTGATCACCTGACCGCTGGAGCACTGTAATGGCCATTACTTTGGGAACCAGGCATAAGTACCATTTGTTCAGCACTGCCGTAACTTAAAACAGTCACCGAATGAATGGTTGTAACTCGAGGACTACCTATATACTTTGCTGAGGGACCAGTTAAAGATTGTACTTCTAAAGTTATTTATTTAAAAAATAGTTCACTACTTTTGCTTGTTTGTTTTTTCTTTAGAGTAATTTACAGGTTCTTAATATATTGCTTTCCAGTTTAAATATCGGTCCATTCAAATATATTATTAATTCACATACTTTAAGAATATTGAAATAATTCGATTTACCTTTTGCAAAGTACTGCAAATACTTCTCAAGAGCTACTTATAATCATTTGGAACTAGAATACTACATAATTTTTTGAAAAAAGTATTGCATTGTAGTATTAAAAAGATTGCCTCTTTTAATAACCAACCCAAGTGCTAAGATAGCTCTGGAGGCCCTTTGGTAGATGTGACTTACGTTGCATTATCTGGGAGTAGAGACTTTCCTTATTTATTTTTTTAAATTTTTGATTACAAAAAAAAAGGAAAAAATACATAAAAGTGATTTAACAAAAAAAGTGAAAAAATACAACAAAGAGAAAAAAAGGAGTTAATATATCATTATAACAATAAACAATTTCAATTCTGTATATGCTTATCTAATACAAATATTCACGTACATATATATTTCTAATAGATATATACGATTATCATGTTTTTTAAAAATCTACTGTGTTTTGTATAAATTAATCCTATATTTCATTATACTTGTCTATACAAAGTCTGCATCTGTAGGCCATCCACTGATAAGGGGCAAGCACAATCAGGTCTTCAAATCATTGAATAAATGGGACTATACTTACTGAGTTTTGGGAGAAGGTACTGGACTATATTTTATTTTGTTTATATGTCACATTTATATAGCCACCCATCTCACACAAAGTGACTCTGGGTGACATACAACAATTAAATAAAATAACAAGTAGATAAAAACAAACATAAAAAGATAAAAAGATTATTAAAAACATCAAAATTTTTAAAAATTTAGATTTTAAAAATACAAACCTCATGGAGAGAACAGAATATCAATTACAGTGGAGCCTTCTAAGAATGTCTCTGGTTTCCAAACAACAGCAAGGAAGGAGTGAACATAACTTTGGGAGGGAGAATGTTCCACAAGGTGGGAATCATGGTAGAGAAGGCCTGCCTCCTGGGTCCCACCAAATGCAAGTCCCTGGCCGATGAAACATATGGCATACCGTCTGTGCCTGATCTAATGGGAGGGCTGATATAATTGGGGAGAGGCAGTGCCTCAAATAACTCAGCCCCATGCCATGAAGAGCTTTAAAGATCAAAAGCAGCACCTTGAATTGGACCCGGAAGCAAACCGGCAGCCAGTGCAACTCGTGAAGCGAGGTGTAATATGTGCTGTTCTAGGAGCACACAAAACTGCCTGTGCCACTGCATTCTGCACCAGTTGAAGCTTCTGGATACTCTTCAAGGGCAGCCCCATGTAGAGCTCATTACAGTAGTCCAATCTGGAGGTGATTAGGGCATGCGTGACTGTGAGCAGAGCCTCCTGATCATATATAAATATGATTGTGTGACAAAAGCTAAATTTTTCAAAGGATAATATTCTTTTGAACTGTATACATAGTACATGGGATTTGACATCTGGACAGTGTAAATGCATTCTCTGTGCCCTTACTATGCCAAAAAACTGATATTGTAGCACTGAAGTAGAGACTTTTCTGAAGTGCTGCCCCAATTTTGGAACTCTTTCCCAGAGCAGTACAGATGGCCCCCAATCCAGTTTTGATTTATACAACAAATGAAGATATATTTATTCACCTATTCATTTTTCATTTATTTACAATTTAGATTTATAGGTATATCCAACTTAACAGTGATTTTGGGCCCATCTGAGCCATTTCTGGAAGCAACCATTGTAGGACTATACTGCCTTTTATGCTGCTTTGTATCTGAATTCTGTTGTAAATTGTTGTACTTTCATATTGTTTGCTTTATGATAAGTGTTTTGGTACCCTTTATAAAATTGTTTTTGCAGAAGATTACTTTCATACTTTTTGTACATTACACTGGGATCCCTCAACAGAAGAGTGTTATATAATTAAGCAATAATAATTTCATTAACATAAAAACAAGTTAACAGTATAATCCTTTACATGTGTACTCAGATGTAAAGTCCATTCAGATCAGTTGTGGTTTTAAGTATATCTATGATTCAACTAATAGCACAATTCCTTTTTTTCCAAATACAAAACATGCCCAATGAGAATTACCACTGGGCAGGAATAAGTAGGATTGCATATCTAATTTCTTCATTTAAATACCATTGATTTCAATTAAATGTAAACTTTAGAGAATTTTGGAATTGATATTAACAGTATATATTTTTTTAAAAATCAAAAGCAACCAAGCTAAATTTAATTTATATGATGGCAATGAGTAATTACAACATGGTTAGTTGTATAGCACTGTAAAGTAAGGTATGTTATATATGTTTAATAACATTTTAATTTTCTATTGTAATTATATAAGACTTTACTCTGGATCATGAACACTTAGGCCCATTCCCTGCTCTAGAACAGTAGTGACAATTACTATAGATTTATTATATGAATGCACTAATGCTTTGAAAATATCTTGATAGGAGCTCTGCTGTTCTGCTGTTATGATACTATGCCACCATCAACTCAGTTGATTTTTGGCTGATTTGTTCAATACCTTAGTATATTGTATAGTTCCAAGAAATATATCATGTATTCTGAAATTGCCTTATAAGAGGAAGCTGTGGATTTCTTTGCCTCAAATACAGTTTGGCTCTCTCAAATACTGATACAACTCACACAGATAGATGAGATCCCATATAAAGTATAAAATCAAGTCAATTATTAGTGGAAGTGTTGAACATTAACGTTGTCAGATAAATTTTGTTCTTCGATCTCATCATTATGGAAGGAGTAATTTTCAAATAGTATTCTTGAAAAGTATGAGTATTAGGTTTTGCCACCTTTGCAAATCATTAATAAAGAGAACCAGTTTATTTTATTTTATACTGAGTTCCCAGTTATATCTAATTATCTTCCTTATTGTTATTCCAACAGGTAGCGACATAGGAATTGATGAAATTATTACAGGAAACTTAAGCAAATATACTGCTGTTCCTCCAGGTTACTATGGACAGGCAAAAAAAGGTCATCTTGTATTTGATGCCTGCTTTGAAAGTGGTAAGTAGATTGCTAGTTATCAGATTAATTGGAGATAGCTACTAGGTTTTAAATTTAGTCAGAAAATGTTTACATTATTCATTACATAAAGCAATATATGTTGAGAATAAGCCTATATTTTTAAAAGATAAACTTTTGACTTTATGGGGCTCTTTGAGTAACAAATAATCATTTTTTCTGTTACTGCAAAACTAGGAATTAATTTTGAACAAGTATATAAGATGATGTTTTACTTCCATTCAACAGGAATACAAGAGGAAGTTCTTTCCAATGAAAACTTTTCCTGTTTCGATTCTCAGGATTAGAAGGTCCTATGCACCTGTCTCCATTGGATTCATTCTATGTGTAGACATTCTCCATCTTTTTGATCTGATATCTGATTCTCCTATTAGTCATAGCCTTTTTGGAAAACACCATTAAATTATATTGTTTGGAATAATTATGCTGACTCCTACCAATAAGAAACATTGAGTTGATTTTATTATTTATGTATTTATTTATACAGTTTATATAGCCACTGACTCTGTGACTCAAGCAAGCGACTCTGGGTGGCATACAACAAGGCTAAAACAATAAATACATTAAAAGATAAAAACCAACTAAAACAAAAAAATAACAGACGAAGGGATATTAAAAATAATGGAGCCACCTCACTAGCTCACCTGTCCCCTGGGGTCCCCAGGCCCGCTGGAATAACCAGGCCTTGAGGAACCTCCAGAAGCTCAACAGTGATGAGGCCAATCTCACCTCGGGAAAAGATTCCAAAGTGCGGGCGCCACAGCAGAAAAGTCCTGCCATGTAGGGCTCACCAAATGAAGCTCCAGCAGAGAGGTCCATAACATGCCCTCTCTGCTGGATCTGGTAGGATGGGCAGATGAAATCAGGGAGAGGCGGTCCCTCAAATAACCCAGTCCCATGACATGAAGGGCTTTAAAGGTCAACACTAGCACCTTGAATTCCATGGGCCCAGAAACAAACTGGTAACCAATGCAACTTGCGAATCAAGCTGTACCAGAAACACACATAACTGTTTATGCCACCGCACTTTGCACCAGCTGAAATTTCCGGGTACTCTTCAAGGGCAGCCCCATGTAGAACACATTGCAGTAGGCATGAGTGACCGTAAATAGGTCCCCTGATCCAGGAACGGGTGCAATTGGCACACAATATGAAGGTGTGCAAAGGCCCTCCTAGCCACGACTGCCACCTGCTCATTGAGCAGGAGTTGTGAGTCCAGGAGGACCCTCAGCTTGCACACAGGGTCTGTTTGGGGCAGTGCAACCCCATTCAGTACCAAAGATGGTAAAGTCCTAGAACCAGAAGGGCTCAAAACTTAAAGCCACTCAGTCCTGCCAGGGTTCAGTTGAAGCCTGTTGTTCTCCATCCAGATCCCCACAGCCACTGGGATAGGACGGCCACAGCATCGCTTAATTTGCCAGGAGCAGAGATATACAATTGAGTGACATTAGCTTATGGATACTTCATCCCATGGTGATAGATGAGTTCACCCAATGATCTCATGTAGATGTTAAATAGAAGAGAGAGCACTGACCCCTGCAGCACCCCACATAGCAGGGGCCGAGGATGAGATCTTTCCTCCCCAATCACCACCGACTGGAACCAACCCTGTAAAAAGGAGGTGAACCAGCACACACTGTGCCATCCACCCCCAATCCTCTGAGTCGGTCCAGAAAGATACCATGATTGATAGTATTGAAAGCCGCTGAGAGGTCAAGTAAGGCAAGGATTGATGCACAACCACCATCCCACCCATGCCAGAGATCATCCAGAAGCATGACCAATGCCATTTCCATACCATACCCAGGCCTGAACCCTGACTGAAAAGGATCTAGATAATCTGCTTCATCCAAGGTCCTCTGAAGCTGCTGTGCAACCATCCTCTCAATCACTTTCCTCAAAAAAGGGAGGTTGGATACTGGATGAAAATTGTCCAGTATCATGGGGTCTAGCAATGGCTTTTTGAGGTGGCAAATCAAAGCCTCCTTAAGAGGCGAAAGAACAACCCCCTCACACAGAGAAGAATTCACCATCGCTAGAACCCACCCACACAACACCCCCCCGGGCCGCTTTCATGAGTCATGAGGGCATGGATCTAAGGAGCAGGTGGCCAAGTTCACAGTCCTAAGGACTCTGTCTGCTTCCTCAGGTCCAACAAGTTCAAACCATTCGCAGATAACTGGGCAAGACTCCACCCTGGGCAAGGCATCCACCCCAGACCTGCAACAAAGCCAGCATCCAACTGAACGAATCTGAGTGATTTTATCTGACAGGTGCTGAGCAAATTCCTCTGCGCAACCCTGCAAAAAGTTCTCTGGGCCACCTTTATCCAAGAGGGCTCATATCACCTGAAACAGGGCTGTGGAGCAGCAATCTGCAAATGCAAATATGGGTGGAGAATACTGTTATTTCACCACCCTTATCGCCACAAGGTAGGCCTTAATAGTGACTAACCTGTGTTTGGTTGAATTTGTCCCTAGGTGAGCGCTAGCAATGCTCCAGATATCTCTCTTGTTTCATTTCCCTCAAACTCTCCATAAACCACAGGGAGTGATGGGATCCTTGAGAGGGGAGAGGTCGCATAGGCACAATCCTATCCAAAGCCTCAGCTGCCCCTTTATTCCAGGCAGTGACCAAGGCTTTGTATGAACTGTGCAGCAGACCAGCAGGAAGAACCCCCAGCTCCCTCTGGAACCCATTTTATTTGCATAATTTTACCATTAGTTGATTAATATAATATTACAAAATACTAAAATCATACTAGAGACGAATGGACAAGTCATTTTTCCCTCTTAAAATGTCCACGTCTGAATGTCAGTTTTACTTTATCTGTGATAATTTTTCTCCAGCTTGTGAGCTTTAAAATAACCTTTAATCACCCCCTAATATTTATAGATATAATAATAAAGTGATTAAGAATACTTGAGCATTTTAATATGTTTATAATAGCAAATGTGGATATTGCCCCTAAAACATACTTTTTAATTTACAAGGTAGTACATATCATAAAGTTAATGTAGATCTTTATTTTATCTTTATCTTTAAATTATAATGAAATTGATTAATCATCTGAGGGGCCAAATACAGTGAGAGGTAGGACAAAGGAGCAAAAACATTGCCCACTGACCCCTATCCTTATTTCAAATATAGTTTCCTGGCTCTGTCACGGGGTGATATGGGCTCTACCCATCCCTGGGGGTGGTTAGCCCTCTGATGATGCTTCTTGGAATTAATTGCCAATTTTCCATCTTCTTGAAACCTATTTATTTTTAGGATTGTTTTTATGTTGTATTTTAATGACTTTTTATCTTCTTGTAAACCACAAAGAGTCGTTTCATGAGATGGGCGGTGACAAATTTGATAAATAAAATAAAATAAAATAAAATAAAATAAAATAAAATAAAATAAAATAAAATAAAATAAAATAAAATAAAATAAAATAAAATAAAATAAAATAAAATAAAATAAAATAAAATAAAATAGTTTCCTACAGATGCTTTTCTTTTTCAGAAATAGTGCCAGGGCTCTGTTCCATGTATTCAGAGCTCAAATACATGGGGTGGACTTGGGGGAGAATACACTTTAGCGGCCTAAACTGCAGTCCCAAGAGGAAAAAAATAGCCTAAAGTTTAGGTCATATTTAAGAATGGTAAAGATGTGTATTTCTCTGAATCCATAAAGTTGTTGTCCAAATTGTGTGAAAATAGCTGAGGCAAGTCAGGAGTATTAATGCAAAACAAACAACATAACTTTTGCTAAAACAGAGAGGTTGTGCTTGTGTAGTTAAGCTAAGTAGATTCAGAAATAGATTTCTGCTTTGGTTCACGATATACTTTCTCAAGAATCACTAACTATAGAGTTTCTTTTGTACATTGAAGAAAGCAACGTAATTAATGGGAATGATGAAGCACCATAATGAGGGCAATTGATCCCAGATATATTAGGATTTACTGGTTCAAAATATGCAAATTCTATTTATTCTATTTATTCTTATATTCTATATATAAAGCAAGAATGATTAAGACTATTTATTTATAATACAGTGGTACCTCGGGTTACGAACGCCTCTGTTAACGAGCTTTTCGGGTTACAACCAGCTCCAGCCGCAAAAATTTACCTTGGTTTGCGAACTCCGCCTCGGGGTACGAACAGGATACGCGGCCATTTTCCCTCCCGTGACACGGTACGCGGCCATTTTTCCGCCCCTGACACGTGGTCCGCGGCCATTTTCCGCCCCTGACACGTGGTCCGCGGCCATTTTCCGCCCCTGACACGTGGTCCGCGGCCATTTTCCGCCCCTGACACGTGGTCCGCGGCCATTTTCCGCCCCTGACACGTGGTCCGCGGCCATTTTCCGCCCCTGACACGTGGTCCGCGGCCATTTTCCGCCCCTGACACGTGGTCCGCGGCCATTTTCCGCCCCTGACACGTGGTCCGCGGCCATTTTCCGCCCCTGACACGTGGCCCGCGGCCATTTTTCCCCCCCTGACGCGTGGTCTGCGGCCATTTTTCCGCCCCTGACACATCGTAGGGAGGGGGACTCTCTCTCCAAGCAATAGCCGCCTCCCTGTCCTCCACGCCAGAACGGATTAACAGTAATTACATTGAACGTTATGGGG